TGAAAGAATAATACAAAAGTAATAAAAATAAGATTAAAAGCCTGTCTCAAAAGATTCATACTTGAATTAATTATGTATATATATATTTGCGTGCGGAATCAAAGTCGAAACATAAAACAACAAAAATTAGTTGCAGGACAGCGCTCCCTATTTATCATCATCAGTACTTTCATTGTGGAGAATTTTTCAATCTGTATATTCCATAAAAAGTGAACCTAACCTAATTTAAAGTCGGTAAAACAGAACAACGTCAGCATCTCCTTAAAATATTTTCGTTTCAAAATAATTATTAAAAAAAATTTCAAAGAATAATATAAATATAATATTTTTCAATCTGTATATTCCATAAAAAGTGAACCTAACCTAATTTAAAGTCGGTAAAACAGAACAACGTCAGCATCTCCTTAAAATATTTTCGTTTCAAAATAATTATTAAAAAAAATTTCAAAGAATAATATAAATATAATACAAAATTTCCGAATTAAATTTTTTGTCAAAATATTTAATAACGCTGAGAAAGAGGCGAACTGAGAAACAATCCCCGACAGACTGTCTCGAGCAGTTATTAAGGATTTTTCTCGAGGATTTTTTATTCGGTTTCGATTCAATCTGCGGCAGAGAACTGAGACGTCGCTTAATATCCTCGCGCATATATACTCCCCGTTTTGTCCGTGTGTTTGCACACCGGGGCGGTGGCATCTCCCGCGATGTCAGTTGCACGGTCGCGTCGCGTCGCGTCGCGTCGCGCTGCGACGCGCGAGTATCGAGTAAGCATCACCGTGGGTGATCCATTATGCATAAGCGCGCTCGTTTCGGCCGACAAGGAGAGCCTTGAGCCCCTCCGGAGCAACTCGTAAAGGCACGAGAGAACCACCTATCACGCGAGAAGACCGATGTGCGAGTCCGGATAATACGCCCCGGCGATAAATAGCGCGGTTTATGCGCCCTTATACGCCAATTCCCACCATCCCCTTCTTTCTCAAATTAGCCCCGAAATAGCGGCCAGCTGGTCTACGAATAGCTCGGGGTGCTTCTCTCTCTCTCTCTTTCTCACTCTCTCACAGCTAATGTTTCACTCGGCGGGGAAGCAAATTTTTAACCCCTTTCGCGTCGGACAGGTCAGCGATATAACCCTTTTCGTAGGCTCTTTAGACACGAATTATGTCAAATCGCGCGGAACCGGACGTGCCTCTGCGAATAGATCCTTCTCTAGGATTCTCCCGTTGATTCATTAGACGTAGACAGGCAAATATCTCGTAATGATAAAACCGGTGATAAAGTGGGTCATCCATCCCTTATGACATTTCGCTTTTTCCAGGAAATCGTCCCGCTACCTGAAATAAGCGAACAACGGGGTTTCTGTTTGTAGAAACGAGAAAAAGCATGCTTTAACCTTTTTTTTTTTATTGCAGGATTCGGTAAATATGGGCACGGCATTTTGTGTCGGCGTTAAATAGCGAGCCCTTATGCAAGCCCGAGCCCGATACATTTTATTGTTTCTCTCGAAAAATGGCCAGCAGGTTTGCAATCATCTCTCTTTTTAACTATTATATATATTTATATATATATATATATATATATATATATACATCTATATTTTATTATTATTTTATTTTAGTATTATTCTTATTGTATATTTTATTATTATTATTATTATTATCATCTATTTTTCTTTATTATTATTATTATTATAATTATTATATTTTATTATATATTATGTATATATAAAATGATATAAAAATATAATAAAAAATGTAATATATAATATATATATATATATATATATATTTTTTTTATGTTGGACACTTGAATGGATGACTTACATCTGTAACGTCGGGAAATATTTAATTTCCCTTTGTCCTGGAAATACATGGACATCGATGTAACCGTGTATTTCTATAAATACAGCACCTTTTTTTCACCCTTCTCCCTTGAATCGCTCGAAATAGAAGAGCGGTGTTTTATTCCGAAACGCGGGAAAGCATATATCCATATCTTTCGCCCTTTCGATTCTAAATAAAATACGCACTCGGTAAATAGCGTTCTTACGCGAATATAATTCTACGCCTCTCTTCTCCGAATTGCCAGAAATGGTAACGGGTCTGTAAATAGCATCCCTCCCACTTTCGACAGGGTTTTTCGTTTCCCACGATTTTCTCTTTCTCTCTCTCTCTCTCTGTAAACCGCGCATTTTATTCGAGATGTTGGAAAATTGCAGGTCCCACACCAGATTCACCAAATATCGTGCAATACCGGTGATAAATGGCGCCCTTACGCGCTCCTCGTCGTCCATTAAATTGCTGGAAACAAGCACGCGACACTTTATTCGAAACGCTAGGACTTTTTTAACGACTCTCTTGTTCACAGTTTTGCGTGACACGTGAATATAATATATTTTATATTCGTAATATATTATTAAATACATATATCAAGATTAAAAGTGTCGCAGAATTATTTTATATTGTACACACAATTAACCCTTCTGTCAATGCATTTTTCACCTATTTATCGATGTATGTGTACCAACTATGCTATTTTTTTATAGCCGTAATTGCGCTTTAAAAATTTTTTTCTATTATATTTTAGAAGATTTTGAAAATAAAAGCCTTTTATTATTTTATTTTAGACGGAAAACAGTTTTGACACATTTTTTATGGTTGAAGTCCTTTTGGGAATCTGTTCATTGATCGAAGGAATAATTACACTGTTCAACAAAAAATTTAACTAGAAGAGATTAGTCGTTTTTTATAGTTTTTTGGATGCTGAATACAAATCTAGTTTCCAAATTATTCCATCACAATTTTAAGAAACTTTTAATTAAAGTTAGATAATTAAGACTTTTTTCACGAACTTTGATTTATTATAGCCACAATATGTGACGTTCTAGGAAAGTTTTATTGCAATCAAAATAAAATATATTATTGAGATTTCCAAATAAATAAATTATATTTATAATATGTAATTAATTATATATTAATAATATATATTAATAATAATTAATAATAATGTCAAAATTTAAGAAATACTTGTTTTATATAAATCCGTCATATTAAGTTCATCAGTTTTTAATTCGACAATTTTGACACTAGATGCGTATTCAGTTGACCTACAAAACCTTTAAAATTAAATAAACATAATTGAAATTTATTTAGTAAATCGTCAATGAGCTAAATCACAGCTATCTTCCGCAATACATCCCATTTAACTATGGATATCTTATTAACCATAACCGAAAAATTCCTTTTGAGAGTTAAAAGTCCTAACAACATACTTTATTTTGATTACAATAAAACTTCTCTAGTACATCACATATTGTACTTATATACAACGAAATTCTTGAAACTAATCCTTTTTGCGATTTTAATAAAAAAATTTCTCAAAGTTGTAACATTACAAAGCAATTTGAAAACCAGATTCGTATTCAGAGAGCATCCAAAAAACTAAAAAAAAAACAATTAATCTCATCCCGGTGTTCGAAAAGTTATTTTTTGTCGAACAGCGTTTTTATCTCAATATTCCCTAACAACACACATATCCCGAAGACGTTCAGAGAACATCCTGAGGATGTCTTCTAGATATCCTCTGAATATTTTTCGAATATGTTGTGCTTTTAGGGTTTTCATAACGTGTTCGAAAAAAGTCATTTTTGTCGAACAGCGTTTTTATCTCAATATTCTTTAACAGCACAATATCTCGAAGACGTTCAGAGAACATTCTGTTCAAATATCCTCTGGAAATTCTCTGAATATCTTTTGGATATATTGTGCTACTAGGGTTTTCATAACATGTTTGAAAAAGTCAATTTTTATCGAACAGCGTTTTTATCTCAATATTCTTTAACAGCACAATATCTCGAAGACGTTCAGAGAACATTCTGTTCAAATATCCTCTGGAAATTCTCTGAATATCTTTTGGATATATTGTGCTACTAGGGTTTTCATAACATGTTTGAAAAAGTCAATTTTTATCGAACAGCGTTTTTATCTCAATATTCTTTAACAGCACAATATCTCAAAGACGTTCAGAGAACATCCTGAGAATGTTTGAATGTCCTCTGGATATCCTCTGAATATCTTTCGGATATGTTGTACTATTAGGGTTCTCATGTGTTCGAAAAAAGTCATTTCTCGTCGAACAGCGTATTTATCTTAATATTCTTTAACAACACACATATCCTGAAGACGTTCAGAGAACATCCTGCGGATGTTTGAATGTTTTCTGGATATCCTCTGAATATCTTTCGGATATGTTGTACTATTAGGATTCTCATGTGTTCGAAAAAAGTCATTTCTCGTCGAACAGCGTATTTATCTTAATATTCTTTAACAGCACACATATCCTGAAGACGTTCAGAGAACATCCTGCGGATGTTCGAACGTCTTCTGGATATTCTCTGAATATCTTTCGGATATGTTGTACTATTAGGGTTCTCATGTGTTCGAAAAAAATCATTTCTCGTCGAACAGCGTATTTATTTTAATATTCTTTAACAGCACACATATCCTGAAGACGTTCAGAGAACATCCTGCGGATGTTCGAACGTCTTCTGGATATCCTCTGAATATCTTTCGGATATGTTGTACTATTAGGGTTCTCATGTGTTCGAAACAAGTCATTTCTCGTCGAACAGCGTATTTATCTTAATATTCTTTAACAGCACACATATCCTGAAGACGTTCAGAGAACATCCTGCGGATGTTCGGACGTCTTCTGGATATCCTCTGAATATCTTTCGGATATGTTGTACTATTAGGGTTCTCATGTGTTCGAAAAAGTCATTTCTCGTCGAACAGCATATTTATCTTAATATTCTTGAACAGCACACATATCCTAAAGACGTTCAGAGAACATCCTGCGGATGTTCGAACGTCTTCTGGATATCCTCTGAATATCTTTCGGATATGTTGTGCTATTAGGGTTTTCGGAGAAGACAATCTCAATCCCCGGAGATGATCTCGCGAGAATTCTCGGTCCTTTAATTCAAGAACTCGCAAACTCACCTCGAACGAGGGTGAGGATGCCCAGCGGCATCACCAGAACCGCGACCATGAGATCCGTGATGGCCAGACTCATCAGGAAGTAATTAGTTACGTTCTGCAGGCGTCGCTCCCAGGCGATCGCCAGGCACACCAGAATGTTTCCCGCCGCCGTGCCAAGCACCAGAACCAGGGCCAGCATCGCCCACCAATTGTTGAGTCCATCCTCGTTACTTTCCCGGCCCGCGGCGGGATCAGTCGTGTTCGTCGTCGTTTCCGGCTCGAACTCGCTGATGTTGCTCGAGTTCGCGAAGACGAAGTCCCAGAGGACCAGCGAATCGTAGGTATCCGCCAGGACGACTCCCTCGGTGGTGGTTGACCTCGTCATCGCTTAGTCAAAACTGCACTCACAACAAGAACTCACGGCACGCGAGGCTGCAGCATCTGAAAGTGCACTTTCAGCAGCGTCGAAGGGATCCATTGAATAATGTATGATGGTATTTTATATATATATATATTTGAGGAAATTAATTGTTAGAGAAATATATTGGAGGGTTTTCAAGATTTATGGAAGGATCCAGGATTTACAAGGGATACGCGAGCTGTGTAATTAAGTAACCTAATTAAGAGACGTCATGCAACGGAGTGAGAGAGACAGAAAGAGAGTGGGAGGATCAAAGCTGACCGAAATGATATATTTCTCGGGTGAAATATATTTCGGGGAAACGGGAAACTTCAAGGAACGAAAGTGGAAGCGACGCGGAATATCGAGAGTTCCTGGAATTTCGAAAACGCCGGGAATTTAGGAAATAAGAATTGAAGAATTCAATTTGTCGAGGGGTTTGCAAAGTCGAGAATAAATTAAAATTTCGAGGACCTTAAGAATTTGGATGGCAGGTGGTCCAAGGATTTAATAAAGAGACAAAGTTCCGGAGGATCTAAAAAATGCCGGCTATAAACGTTTGAGATGAGACTCATTGTCAGAGATTTTTCGATTAGAGAACTTTCCTTCTGTCGACGAAATGTTTCAAGAGAGAGTGCTTTTAAATCACTCCAAATCCAATTTGGTTTTATCATCAAGTATTCGCGCGTCTTTTGCGTTCAACTGAATGTCATTTCGATGCTCTCTTCTCAAATTGAGAGATTTTTTAATTTGATATCGAATTTTTATTATTTTACTTATCTGTCAATGAGTAGATACCTAAATATCCGAGTTTTAAATTTCAAAAAATTTATAATTGGTACCCATATATATATATTGACGAAAAGTTACGCCTTGCTAGAATAAAATATTTTGCAAGATCCCCAAAAAAATTTACCGAGCTTTCGGATCATGAATGTACGATTTTTTTTTATTTCTTCAACGTCGATTAAATTCCTTTATAGAAAAAATTCGCCGAGACATATTTCCTGGAAGAAGATGATTTCCTCCTAAAAACGGAAGAGGCCATTCGCGCGCTCTTTGGGTCTTGCGTGAGGTATCGATAGCGAATTCAATTGCATTGATTGCGACTGATCTGGGGTGCATATCGGGTGATATATCGATGGAAAGTGAGGATTACACGCTCAACAGGTTACACGAGATGAGAGCGGTTCGCACGCGAATATCATCGTAACTGCAGACTTTTGTCGCAATTAAGTAATCCGCGGCGCGAATTCAATTGGCAGCGATAAAATCTTCTCGGAAAATCTTCGGATTTCGAGATATTTCATGTGTCTTGAATCCCGATTTACGACGGAAGTTTCTTTGAACGCGGAGCGCCGAAGGTAAAATACTGAAGGGAGGAAAAGTTTTAAAATGGTCTAAAAAGATGTAAAGAATTGCGCGAAAAATCGTCAAGTTTCTCAACACGATCTCAAGAATTGGAGTTGTTAACGAGAGTTTTATGGGAAATCAAATACAAAAGATTCGAGAAATTTTCTACCTGTGAATACAAAATAAATCAATTTTAATGTCTTTTTAAAACTGTCAAAATTTGAAATAACCAAATACACCGACAAAGCAAAATAAAATGATAACTAATTTGAAAATAAATTTTCGAAAGGGCAAACATTTTAGATAATTTTTTCAAGAATTCATAAGCACGAATTAAATTTATTAGCAAACATGAATTAAAAGCAAGAATTCAGAGCTTAAATGTCGGAGCTTTCATATAATGGTTTTAGAAATTCAAAAGAGAGAGAGAAATAAAGCAGTTTGAAATAAAATAATTTAAAAATAAAAGAATGAAATAACTTGTGCAGAGGATTATTCAAAAAATGCAATTATCTTCAAGAAATACTGAATATAGAGTCCACAGTTTTGAAATCCCATAATTTTCATAATTTTAATAATCCAATTCGCGTGAGCGAGTTTAATGAGAAAATCAGAACTCTCCGGTGAAGAATCTTTCACACTCGGAAAACGCGTTAAAACTCCAAGGACATTATTTAATAAATCGACAAGAGGGATGAATTCGGCGGGAGGAAGTTCAAGAATTCGGAACTCGAAGCCGGGAGAACGGGCGAAAAGGGAAGAAAGGGAAATGGAGAACGGGAGACTTGCGGAGTCTCCGCGGTTCCAGGAATTCAAATTGAGCAAAGCGGAAGTTGAGCGGAAACTCGAGAAAGGAGTGGAGCCGGTAATTTATCGAATACTTCGTTAAACACGCACATCGCTCGGCAAACTACTCTTCCCCATCGCGGCGGAAACACATACACCCGCGAAGGGAGTATTAATATTTCGCGCGCGAAATTTTTTTTTTTTTTTTTTTTTTTTTTCTTCTCTTTCCCGCCACCAGGAAAGACCGGGGGGAGGGGAGGAAAGGGGGAGGAGAGGGTGAGTGACAGTTCGCGGACTCGGTTGCGGAAGCGCGAAGCTACGCGATCCACGAGGGTTGCTTCGCCGCGGACTACTGGCCCACTAGCTCTTATCTCTCGCTCGTCGACCACCCCTCCCCCCCCCTCAGCCGGTTACCCCCCTCCCCTCCCCTCCCTTCGCCCTTCTTCTCAACCCTCCCTCCCTCCCCCCTCCCGACGAGGAGGACGCGACGCCGAGCATGCGTCGCCGCTCACGGCCTGCCCACATCGGGACACCTGTTCGTCCTTCGTTGTCATCCCTTCTTGTATTATTAGGGATGCACGGGGTTTGCACTCATGCGCGAAATGCAACGTCTTATCAATAAATAAGAGAACGGCGTCGTTACACTTGCCCTTTCGAAAGTCGCCGATTTTTAACCAACGCGTATTCAGCTCCCTCTGTCTTGTACTTCGAGAAACCAATTTCTGAATTCATTAAGGATATTGTGTTACTGAAATGCTGAGATGTTTTTCGCGTCGTGTGATGTGTCATTAAAAAAAAATATATATATATATTACATATATATATATATTACATATATATATATATATATATATATATATATTTTTTTTTTAACGACACTTATCATGCGACGCGAGAAACATCTCAGCATTTCAGTAACACAATATCCTTAATGGATTCAGAAATTGGTTTCTCGAAGTACAAGAGAGAGGGAGCTGAATACGCGAAAAAGTTTCGCGGAAAAATTGTCCATTTAGATGTCAAATATATATATATATATATATATTGGACATCTAAATGGACAATTTTTCCGCGAAACTTGGGAACAGTAAATTCTAGGGAACGCGGAGTGACAAGTTTTATTGAGACATTTTTACTATGAAAAGAAGGTTTGCCGGTGAAAATGGAGTTGTGTAGAGCACGCTTCTTAAATTTTTTGTCAGAGGAGAGAAATGTCTACGAGAAGACTTATTAAATAGTTATTAAGACAGTTTACTTAAATATTATTCATTTCTAAATGGTGAGAAAAAACAGAAATAAATGAAAAAGATATATGTATATAGGTTATAGGTTAGGTATAGGATAGGTATAGATTAGGTTAGGTATAGATTGTTCGTATTTAAGTTTATTTTAATTTGTTAATTTTTCAAATCATTGCTTCGTTAATTTTCTGATTAATTATTAATTTTTAGTCAGCTTTATTTAAAAGAAACGTTTACGTGAAATTTATTAAGCTAATTTATTTAGACACGTTATATAATTACATTTAGAGGCGAGGAAAAATACAATAATAAAGGAAACATGTATAGAATGTAGATCATTTAAATTTTTGTAAATAAATTTAAATCTGTCAATTTCAATTATTGCTTCTTATTTAAGAGAAATATGTACGGAACAAATCGTTAAACAATTATTAAGACAATTCATTACATTATATACATAATTATATTTAGAGACGAGAGAAAATAAAAAAACAAAGAGATATATTTAGAATATAGATCATTCTTATTTTTGTAAGCTTAAATATGTCAATTTCAATTTGTTGTCTCGTCAATTATTTAATTGAACTGACTTATTCAGAGATAAAAAGAAGCTTGCAACAAGCAAGTTTACGAAAGGATGAGATAATTGATTATCTTTAGATTAAACTGAAATAATTCTTCTTAATTACATATGAGTTTTGTTTATTAAAATATATTGTTCATATGTATTTAAGAAATCCAGCTAATTAAAAGTTAAATGACATTTATGCAGATATACATTATCAAATGTAACAAATTGGATTTAATTGCATTTAATGAAATAAATTTCTTTTAATTGTGAAAATTAAATAACGTTTATTAAAATGTATGCTTTATATATATATATAATGACATTTATAATAAATTGTAATAATTTTACATACATTCTTTATATGTACTCAACGAATGCTATTTTTATTTTGCTCGTAGTCGGGTAATTTGTAAAGATGCAAAGAAGGTTGAATATTAAAGAGAAGATTATAAAAAAAAAAAAAAACTACTAAATTTCCACTCTCTCATATCATCGGACGACGCGTTTTGCATACTGATATTCGTGTTTCTGAAATTAGTACGACTCTCTTTCTCTCTCTGTTCAAGTATCGAATTTGCATTGGCATTTATTTCGACGATCTTCATTCTCCTCGTGATTTTCAACTCATGAATTTTGTCGATTTAAATCCTACCAGCTTGTTTATTATTATTTTCATAAATATAAATCGGACAGATTATTCCTGACATATTATGTCTCTGGAATTAATACGGCCTTTTAAAAATTAAATCCGAATTGCATGATTATCTTTCTCTCTCTTTCTCTCTCTGTATAATATTATTTCTCGACGTAAAAATTTTATTCCCTTTCGATATATTTCCAGAACAAAAAATGAGCAAATGGATAGGATTATGGATTTTTTTACCAAGCAAAAGGCAAGATAATCTGATTGTTCTCTTCAAATTGAGTATCGATTCGTAATAATACGCATGTTAGTGTCAGAAATGGGAGGAAGGTACTAATCAGGAATCACTTCGCGATGAATTAAGCGCGTATAAATTTCTCGCTAGAAACGATTCGTACAAGTGCATGGGCATAAAAAGCGATTTAGTATCCCGTGAATTGCGATAAAGGACAATTTATCGAGCCCGCGGGCGAGTTTTTTGCTCACGTGCGCGTGCGATTAAAGGACTCGCGACAGAACATTACCTGGGAAAAACGAAGAACACTCATGTACATACACGAATGTAAAAAAGAAAAAAAAATACGAGACAGATGTGTTTTGATATCGCGTTTTCGACTTATTTTCAAGTCTTAGCTTTTCGTATAGATGTGTGCGACGAAACTTTCATAAAGAAACCTCGCATCGAGAAACATCAAATATATGAAATTTTAATTTACGTCATGATAAATATTTAAAAACATTTATTTTTTAATTATATTATTCATTTATTATATTTTTCTCTTATTTTTTGATATTTAATATTATTTTTAAAAATTATATTAAAAATATAATAAATTAATATTTATATACAATGACATAATATAATTGATATTTAATATTATTTTTAAAAATTGTATTAAATATAATAAATAATAATTATATATATGACATGACATGATTGTGATGAAATTTAGAGACTTTTTGTTGTAGTCTAAAAACAATTCTAAGGGGTAAAACCATCCCTTATATGTAGAGCAGCTTTTTCATCGAAAAGTATTTGAAATTTATTTTATAAAATATTTTATATAAATATCTCGAATACATTTAAATTAGAACTTGTGATTAATTCGATTAATCGATTAGAATCAAATGTACTGATTAAAATTAATTTAATAATCGAATTTACTATAATTGATTCATCGATTATTCGGTTAATCTTAATTATTTAATTGAGTATTAATCGTTTCTTTCGATTACAATCGATTAATTGACTTTGAATTAATCGATTAATCGGTTATAATCACAAGATCTAATTCTGTTGAATTATTTTTTAAAAATGTTCTCACCATAAAATTTTTTGTATAAACCATTTTTTAATATCTCGAATACTTTTAGAGAAAAGTCGCTCAATATATGAGAGGTGATTTCACCTTTGAAATCATTTTTGGGCCACAACTAAAAATTGCTAAATTTATTTATTTATCACCTCTACATGTATATAAAATTCCATCAAAATCGGAATTTTTCAGGTTCACGAAAAGTTTGCCAATTATTCTCTTCTCTCTACTAATATATTTAACTAAAACCAATTATAAACATTTATCAATAAAATAAAATTTACAATTATAACAAATAAACAAATTCTACTTGTTAAATAGATTTAAGTTGGTAATATTAATTATAATTGCTTTAATTACACGAAATATCTCTTTTGTACAAGATTCAATTTTATAATCGGATTTTTAGAAATTTAACATAATACCTGTGTTTAATAAGACTTCACGTGGAACATTTCTTTGTTCGAATTTGCATTGTTCTCTCTCTCTCTATGTCGATACATGCATACTTAGTCGCATTCTCTCGAGCAGACTACTATGTCGAATATTCTGTTCGCAACAATTAAGTAAACCGCAAACCGCAATCTCGTTATTAAACGCACCGTCACTTTAGCCGGACAACTTCTTGAGCCAGACTTAAGCTCGCCTTAATCCACTTAGGAATATCCTCAGGATCTCCGAAGTAAATTCGCGATTCCTGCGGAATCAATTATCCTCGCGGGCCTCCGACTTGCCGAATTTGGTGACTGGTAATTTTCGACGAGAGAGAAATTCATTTCGCGCGCTTAATTAAACGTCTGCTTCTATACACTCGTGTTTTCAATGCTACCTTCAGTCAATTTAATTATTTAATCATTCTTTATTTTTCTTATTACTATTTTTACACTCTCTAATTCCTGCTATTGATATACTATATTTTTTTCAACGAATTTCACGTTATTCTTTTTTAGGTGGAATTCTCTCTCTCTGGAAAAAAAAATCAAACAATTGAATTAATTTATAGTTTATTATTTTAAAAAATTATTATTGTTTGCGTGTAGAAGAATATTAATTTTTTTAAGGATTACGAATTACACAAAAAGTGAATGAACGATTTATCTGGATCAGTTCTGTCGAATTTTGTTTTATTTCATTAATATTTTTTTATATGTCAATATTTTCAATGCAAACCAGAAATATAATAAATTTCATTATTTATCTCGAATGAATTCTCTTGCAGTTTGTTTTTCTTTTTCAACAAATTTTTCATTTATTATAAAAGAAAACAAAGAAATGGAACCTCTGGTTTTTGTTTTATATATTTGTCCGCCATGTCTTATATATATATATATATATATATATTATTCCTACCCCTTTATGGATTCCTCGCCAGAGGAGCTCTTGTATTCTGCATTATGCGATAGATCGATGTGCCTTCACCTTGCAGTCACCTATTTATTGGCTTTAAATGTTCGTTGGTGCTTCTTGCGCCGAAAATTTCATTTCGTGCTCAAATAAATTTCCCGACGTGATGGATTAACGCCATTTACGCGAGAGATTTATGTCGCCGGGATTTTTTCTCCTCT